CTTAGAGGCCATGCCTGCATACTTTGATTCCATGTGAGGGAATACAACGACGATTTTGACCATGTAACCTTGGGAGGGTGCGGCAGATGGAGGCGGTTAGGCGGTATGCGGTGCTCACTCGGGGTTGTGATATGGCCACCAATTAGCGAGTGTAGTAGGTTACAGTGAGTACAAACCTAAATTAGTGCTGTTCAGTAGTTCTGGTCATCACCTCGCAGCCGCTGTTGGGAATAATCACGCACCTGACACTAATTGGGATAATATTGATGTAAATCTGCCCTTATCAATATAAGAGTAGACACAGTGATGATGCCAAGCTATAGCACATATCAGGACGCAACCACCAGCTCAAGATTTTGCCACGTGGATGACGCTGCATGTTTTGTCAGCCCAAACTCAGCAAGACTGCTACGTAGTCTTTTAAGCTTAGCCATGAAGCTTACCCCTCTCCCGGGCACAGAATCCATCAGAACTCAGAAAACGCCAGAACCAACAAGGAACAGTCCAGTTCAACATCCCCAAAAATCTTGGAGTGTTAGTGTTGCATTGTGTCAGCCAAGAAAATGGGGGAATGGGATAATCACTAATCACCTGCTCAATTACGCTTCTGCTTTAAGTAGTGACTCCCGGGACTACGAGATCAGCACTAGCCAGCGTTGCGCTGCCACCTCCGATGACAAGTCCATTCACGATGCTTCGACATGGGAGGGGGAGGAGACGCTTGAGGGGCCAGGGTTCGTCGCTCAGCAGCAGCAGAGCCCCGAAGCTTCGGTACTGGAGAGTGTTTTTACTCGCTATCATGATTCCATTTTCGTGATCAACAAACCTCGTGGAGGCTGGTGGCTGCAGCAACGTCGCACAGGGAAGCCGAGGCTTTGGGACGGGATCAAAAATATTGGACGCCATCAAAGGCCGTAAAGTGAAGATCGGCTCTTTTCATGTCAGATTCGGAACACAACAGCCATTCAGGCTGATCCTCGACCTACAAAATGGGTTGCACTCGGGGCAAATACTCCCTGCTCCCTAGTTACCTCCCATAGCAATGCTGACTCGGGGTGTTTTCCCTGTTTACGAGACACAATAACCCAACTTACAGATCGGCATTTGACCCTTGTCGTCCAATTAAAGCCAAGACTGGGCAATAAAGCTTGGTCTCCTCTTCTCCACGTCCATGCGTCGACCTTCCCGTAAACGCTTAGAGTCATCGCAGATCGTGAGTTTTGGTTCATTTCCTCCCCCGCATCGCATGGGCTAGCTTTGGGGTTTGGGGGGTCGTTGCGGGCGTTGACGTACGAGGCGGGTTGAATGGAAAGGGTTGTTTACGTGCTAACAAAAGAGCTTGCTTCTTCCCCCTCGGACTTGTTTTCTTTCTCTTGTTCTGCTGGTAAAGGCAGTATCAAGCTGTCATCTCCGCGGAGCGTAGAGACTGTTTCGCTATTCTAGACTTGAGTTATAAGCTATTGTTCCAGCACCATGACTACTGATACCACGGCGACGCCGCCAAGTGAGCAAGAGAAGCCGACAGCTGTTGATGTCGAGAATGTCGCGTCGACGACGCTGTCCAATGCCGGGACCGGGGCTGCTGTTGATGCTGAGCGAAATGCCCTCTTAGCTGCTCTCCCTGATCCTGATGAGGGCAAGAGTGAAGAGGAACGACGCGAGATTGTAAGTCTTTCGGCATTTTCTCTGTGTCCAATCGAGAATGGTTGATGCTGACATTCGCTCAGGACAGGAAGCTGGTCTGGAAGGTCGACCTCTGGCTCATCCCCTGGCTGTCGCTGCTCTACCTCCTCTCGTTCCTGGACCGAACCAACATCGGCAATGCTCGCCTCGCCGGCATGGAAGATTGGTTGGATATGGGCCCTGGAGATTACAACGTCGCCCTGACCATCTTCTTTGTCAGTTATGCCCTCTTCGAGCCAATTACCAACGGTCTTCTCAAGCGCTTGACACCCCGCATCTTCTTCACGGGCATCATCATCGCGTGGGGTGCCGTCATGACCCTCATGGGTGTCTGTAATAACTACCCAGGTCTCCTGGCAGCTCGTTTCTTCCTCGGTGTCGCAGAAGCTGGCCTTTATCCTGGCGTCAATTACTATCTCGGCTGCTGGTATAAGTCATCGGAGATTGGTGCTCGCGCCGCCATTTTCTTCTCCGCTGCTGCCCTGGCTGGGTCTTTCGGTGGTCTCCTCGCCGCAGCTATCGCCAAGATGGACGGTGTTGGCGGCAGACCCGGCTGGGCATGGATCTTCATCCTCGAAGGTCTCGCGACTGTCGCTGTCGGCGCCTTTTGTTGGTGGATGGTCTTTGACTGGCCCGACACCGCTCGATTCCTTTCTCCCGAGGATCGCGTTCGTGTTCAGCGCCGTCTGATCCTGGACCGCCAGGGAAGGACCGCTGAAGACTTTGATAAGCGTCACATCTGGGCTGCCATGAAGGATTGGAAGACATACGGTTACATGGTTATTTACATGGGCTCGCTGATGCCACTGTACGCCTTCTCTCTCTTCCTGCCTACCATTCTCCGAAGTATGGGACATGTAGGCACCAAGGCGCAACTCCTATCGGTTCCTCCTTATGCCTGCGCTGCAGCCGCCACTGTCTTCGTCGGATTCCTAGCAGATCGAACCAAATGGCGTGGATATTGTAATATTGCTACTGTCTGTATCGGTATCATTGGATTCACCATGCTTATCGCTTCGCCTAATCCGCATGTCCAATACGGCGCTGTGTTCCTCGGTGCAATGGGTACGTACACAGCATTAATTTATTGAGGTCTTTACTAATCTAGAACAGGTATCTATCCCACCGTCTCAAACACTGTGTCATGGGTCAACAACAACATCGAGGGCTCCTTGAAGCGAGCCATTGTTCTCGGTATGGTCGTCGGCTGGGGTAACCTCAATGGTGTCGTCTCGTCCAACATCTACCGTGAGACCCAAAGGCCTCGCTACTTCGCTGGCCACGGCACAGTTCTAGCCTACCAGATACTCTTCCTTCTTGGAGGCTCCATCTTTATGCATTTTGCACTTCGACTGGAGAACCGTCGCCGTGCGAGGGGATCACTTGATGCCAAGTATGCTGCTATGACAGATGAGCAGAAGTGGATCAGTGGTGATGTGCGTCCTGACTTTAGATACACTCTCTAGAGAGCTCAAGAAGATTTGTTAAATTGCGGTTTGTTTTGGGAGACTCCTGTAGCAGGATAACAGGACTGGTAGGGAGGGATTGGAAGAAGGCATATTATGACTATGTAGTACTTATAGAACACTCTTGGTATTTACAAGTGTCTCATGCTAGGATAATGAGCCCCTTTTACTTACCCAAGCTTTCTCGCCTGTCCGTGATATATTGATACCCCGCTTAATCCTGAGATGCTCGGATACCTCCGTATCAGTAGGCAAGGGTCTGAGACAATGACAAGATGTTCCAGCTGAGTCTATATGCTGAGGGTATCACAGAGAATGGTCGAGACCACGCCATATCTGTCGGTGTTCTCGATGCTGGCCAAATCATGCATTGGCGTATGAGTGCACAAGCTGTAAAACATATCTGTGCCCTGTCTGTCGCTCTTCTCGAAAAGCACACCGACTCCATCGTGGTATCGCCAATTTTGGTGCATGATCACTCCGCAGGCCACTACGCACTATCGGTCGTTTGATTACAGTATGAATCATGTCTTTGTATCACCGGAACAGATCTCAGCCCCTCTTTCGTTGATGCAGGGTTTCCAGTGGTATGGCTTGAGACAAGTTTCTGGTAGCTGGTGATCTAGGTATTTGAGAAAAGGATGTCCTACGTATCGTCTTGGTTAGTTCTATATAATCTCCTAGGTGATATTCGGCTTTCCGCTACGCGGGCCGGCGACAAATTCGGGGCTTTTTATAGATTAGAAAGATAAAAACAGTAAAATATTAACATCATCACGAATGACAAAGACAATCAGAAGAGCCCCTCCCTATGACTGCTCGTGGTCTCATTGCGCCTGAACGACACCATGGCACAAAATGAGAATCAAGTCCAGACTGTTTTACTCGAGGTCCCATCACCGCTCTATCTGTAGAACCTTTTCAATCAATATGAAACAAACTGGCAATAGTACCTTCTTCACCTGTTCCGCTTACCTTCTCCCTGTTGCGTTCTATAAGAACCGTCGAACCCGCTCCTCTGTCGTTTGATAAATCATCATTCACCATCAAAAGACAGAAATCTTAACTCAGACCCATAAGCCCATCACGGTTTCTTATTCAGAATGAAGCTCTCCATCGTCCTTGCTATTGCCGCGCTCTCGGCTGAGACCTTTGCGTGTGCCAACATAGGGCAAGTTTGCCAGAAGGGAGACCCAGATGTTTGCCAGTGTGATGCTCCACTTACCGTAAGTCCTCCTATCTTCACTCATCCATGTATTTGACTGCTTATATGTCGGGCGTTTTAGCTGTCCTGCAGAGGTGATCCTGTCACTCGTCCGGGAGGCGGTGAGTATGCCCGTCGATGGCTCAACGGCCATTCTCTTTGTACCCATAAGAATTCTTCTGATCCAAGTAGTTCGACGCTTTCACTACCAACTCCTTGACATTTGTCCCCTTATCAAACGAAATGGACGGTGCGTCAATGGGAAGTGCGTTCCAGGCCCGCGTCTGACGGGGGTTATTCCTACGCCGACTCCTGAGTAGACTGCACCGCAGATCCGCAGCCTACAGTGCATTTCAATCAGGTTGAAACACACTCGTTTAACTCTCAGGTCGTGGATTGGGCCAGAGCTAGTTATAGTTGACAATATCAAACCCAATTAGACAAGGCTTTCCTCGGAACATATCTGTTTCCATCCATGAATGATGCAAATCTGAATTAAGAGGCTGTAAATATAAAAGTGACACTATAGTAGCCTCGATAAAGGATCTCTATCCGCTGACCTAGAACGAGATCTTGAGACAGCTAAGATTTCTGATAATGCCTCACTGTGGCAGTCGGATCCTGATACTGATTCATATTCATTACTTCTACTTTACATCAAAATTTCGAATGTTTCTAGGACCACCTTTGAAGAGTTCCCCGTGCATGATTCCGTGCACGTATGCCTCTCCGATAAGCGTATATGATTCGTCATCCTGAGTTCGTAATAGGTAGGGTACTTTCCCTCCCAACAGAATACAGACTTCATCTCCTGGCTGCATATCAAGTGGACCAACCCCAACAAAGCCTGTGGAAGTCATAAAGGCACGTCTCGTGTGCATCCGCATAAGAGCGGACGCATAGAAAGAATCCTCTGCAGACGAAGCATCTTCATCTTTCTCTCCTTCCTCTGTTTCAAGACGCTGAAGATTCTCGACGTCTTCTGCACATCGGGATCCCCAGCCCTGATAAGGTACTGTAGAGAACCAAGTGGTGCCATCAAGGATCCCAATGCGAGCAGCATCCAAACGCTCTTCTCCGACCCTAATTCTAGGGGAGCTGTCGCAAAATCTCCTGATGCTTTTGAGCCATTGTTTGACTGCGGTCTGGTTGATGGGCTTCAACCAGTTTGGGTCCCAAGTGGCCCCAATCTCTTGAGCTTTGTCCACATAGATACCCTCAAATGTCGCTGTATCGAAGTGGGGAAATCTCGGTATCGCGGTATATGTGCCTGATGCTTGGAAGGGGGTATCCCACGCAGGCTGTGCATTTGGATGAAGAACATCCATACTCCAATCCGGTACCCAACTTGGCAGCGTGACAAGCTTCCTGGGCCTTTGGCAGTACATGAGAACATCAATAGTACCTTGTTCTAAGATCTTGCAGGCTGTTTCTCTGTACACCTCTTCGACTGTCATAGAGTAGTCTGGGAACAAGTCAAAGTGGTCCCTATCTCCAGTCAGGTTTAGCAAAGCAAAAATACGATCGCGCGGGTCAGTTGCGTGGACAACGTTGTAGTCGGTTTCCAGAGTGAGCGATACCGCGACGACCTGTAGAAGGGGCTGGCCCCATGGGCTTTCTCCATCGGGGGTATAGACATAGTGCCACCTTCTTGTAAACAAGCTATAAACATAGGTGTTGAGTGGAGTAGAGTAGACATAATCCAGGTTCCGAATCAGTATCTCAAGCCCATCAGCTGGCTTCTTTCGCGCACGACGCTGAACAATACTCGAGGCATCCATAGATTGCTCTACGAGGTCGGACTTCACAATCCAGTCACCGCAGGCAATAGCAATACGCCGACCAACGGCAAATTCCTGCATGATCCACAGGCGTTGCCAATAGCGCCGCTGACAATAACCGTGGAATGCCGCTTTGGCAGCTTCCAGATCAATAGAGCCTTCCTTCGCGTTACCAGAGTAGAGCTTCTGCAAAGCTTCAAGGTCGTTGGAGCGCAGGGCTCGGCCTGTATCACGCATCAAGCGGCATATGAGATCGCTACTCTCATCACCATTACCCAACCATGCGATCACCTGATCTGCCTCCCTGTAGATATGGTGCATTTGGTGGACTTGATGGCTCTTCTCGACCTCGTTTGTTTGATTGATGCATAGCTGATCGACCCAAAGCCATCGAGGCTTTTTACGAAATCGTAGGCGCCGAAGGGCATTCTCGACGGTTGAGCTGATGTCTATTGTCGTCCCACCAATGCTAATACGCCTTTTGGGGCTGTCTGGAGATTCCCAGACGTATGACAAGGCTGTGTATGGCGGAGAGTCGCCGCGGATATATTCCTCGATATTGCACACCAGGAGATCCGGTATTTCGGTTTCAGAAATGGATTCCGAAGGAGACGGTTCTAGTTTGATGAGTCTGATCCAATGGTCAGGATCCTCAAGTTGGGCGTACTTGATATCCGAATACATCTGGAGACTTTGTTCCGCAGTAGCAAAGTAGAATAAGAATAGTTGAAAAGCACATTCATAATCATCTGATGCTGACGGATTATGATCTTACCCCACCTCGCCAAACGTATTTAGGGCTGAAGCTAACGTCAAATGCTACCTCACTATCGATATCACCTAACCTCAAGAGGACGGACTCACACGATACTAGCTTGGTACTTAAATGATATACTGTCCACAACATGCTAATTTCTTCTTCTTCAATAATCTGTCTATGGCCGCCCACGTGGGATGTTTCTTGGGATGAACCTGCGTAGTGGCCGTGAGATCAGTGCTGCAACCCCTGTGCTTACGCCACGTGGATTTCATCTTAAATTGCGGCGTTGCAAGTATCATATCCATGTTCTGTTTTTCTTGGCCTATCTAGTTTCCAATATTACTCTTGCGAGTAGAGTTGGTCGTGGGTAGGCCGATCAAGAAGACTCTGTTCCATCGTGCTTCGGAAGTTGATCGGGTTTCACACCTGTACCTCTTCGACCTTCTCACAGAGTACTTTCGTCACGAGTGCGAGGCAGCACCTCGGAACCTTGAGGACGGGATTTTTGCAAAGAACTTTTGGTCATAGAGTCAGCAATCTGCAGTGCAGGTGCGGCAGAGGTCTTTAGATTACTCGACTATCGTCTTCCCCCGATAAAACAGGCCATATCAATTAAGATCCAATTATCTCTTTGACAACCTTAGAAACATTGTCGGGCTGGCTAACGGTGGGCACATGTCCGCTATCGAAACTGTGCACTGCAACCTCCTTTCCACTTGACGCCTTGACACCTTCAATCATTGCTCGCTGGAATTGAGGCGGAATGATCTGGTCCTGTTCGCACACGATGTAATGCACTTCCACGTCATTATAGCCAGGATACGTCAGTGGTTCCCGGAAGCTTGGTGTTGAGTGCTCAGGCATCTGCTTTGCCAGTTCCAAAGCTTCATCAAAAGGTAAGTCGGAGAAGGTATGAGTCGCGTGGCCTTTGGGATCAAGCGTCATGTAGTCATCCTGGATGTTAAATTAGCACGAACCTCTGAAGTTGAGATACTCGAAGTGTACCTTAAGATCGAGAAAGTCAGGCAGTGCTGATCCAAATGCATCCAGGTTGGAAACACCAGGTTGCAACACGACTGACGCAAGGTAGATAATCTTGTCGACTCCTCCTTGCTTTCCCTCAGCCTCGCGGGCCTTTCGCGAGAGCTTGCTCAGACTTTGGGTACCAGGAATGCCCCCATACGAATGGGTCATGAGAACGACCTCCCTCCCCTCATCGAGGAGCTTGGAAACAACGTTGGTGATTTCGTCGGCATCATCGCTCATTGTCGCAAGCGGGAGATTACCCCGCTTGCCAACCGATGGGGTATCGATTACGCGCGAGTCGATGCCATGTCGCTCGAGACTCTCTGTAAACACACGATAGTGTTTGGATGGCGCAAACGACCCGGGGACGATAACAACAGTTGGAGTTGCCATTCTTGAGTTTTCTTGTGTGGTTGAGAAGATATGAAGAGTAAGTAGTTTGCTGAAAGTTGAGAAAGAAAGCAATCGTGTCCTTTTGTATGCGGTTTGTGCTGTTGGTGGGTTGTACGACGTTTGTCATCGGATTGCAATACCCAGCCATCCCCGCGTTTTCGGAGGAGATACGATATCGTCTGATTGGTAATTTTGGGGAGACGTTACCTGAATGAGTAAAAGCACCGCGAACCAACACCTTCAGCGATCGAGCTTGAGCATGCATCCTGTCAGCCCTAACTTCCTGCGACCTGCAGAGCCAAGGCTTGGAGTTAGTGGCATTAAACCAAGAGTCTTGGGATATCGGCCATCGATAAAAGAAATGCTTGGAGGCAGAATAACTTGGTAAACTCTACATGCACCTTTCTCTGATTGCCCTCGTATCCTGTGTAATCATCAAACTTCATACAGTGCGTGCACCTGCACGGGCTGATTGCAAGCTTAATGGAATCTGTGGGGCTCTCCAAACACAAACTTGGTAAGTGCTAAGATAAAGGAACACTTTAAGAAACGAGATGATCTTCTCTGCGATGTTGGGTTGAATAGTCTCGCGGGTAAATTTGTTTCGCGTGAGAAGTACTGAGGGAGGCCATGTACAAACGCTGAAAGAATGCGGTTTCAGGGTTCGGTAGGGCCAATAGCGGGCGTATCCACTGTCAATAACGAAAAGCCTCATGAACAGGACCCTCTCACGAACAATTATTCCCCCATTGATCTACTCAGTTTATTTTTGGCTCTCTTAAACGCGTAGCCCTTGGCTTTGTTTTACCTTGACTTCTTCCAATTGTTCTATTCTCGTTTCTTTATTCCCCAGCGCTCGCCCCTCCATTGGCTCTCAAGCAGCGTCTAACAAAGACCCCGTTTCGCTAAGCGCCTGATCTTAGCGGCTACCAACAAACGATTGGGGCTCCAGGAATAGCGCTGGGTCTCTTTGGTAGCGGCCTCGTTTCATCGTCGATTGGCTCTTGATTGTCCAACATGAGAAAGCGCATCAGCGTCTATTGACGATGTTCATCATGGATGCTGTATAAAGATGCGATGTTGTTCTTCTGTTGGTTCTGTTATCCAAATCACTATCGCTTTACGATTCTTCGTCTATTTATTTCTCTCTTTTTCTACACTGCTGTGCAGTTCAATTCCATTCTTTGGTCAACACGCGTCACACGCAAATCATCTTCGACTACAACACTTTAATATCAATAATACAACTTCATCATGGGCAAGTTCGACAACGCCATCAAGGCCGGCCAGACAGCCATCGAGCTCGGCAACACTGCTAGATCCTTCGCTGGGGCGACCTCCGAATTCCGCGCTGCAGACAAGAAGGAAATTGGTCGACAGGCTGGTCGTCACGCCTTCAACGAGGGCGCCGAGACCGGAAAGACCATGGGCAAGACTTGGCTCAAGACCTTCGAGACAGTTCCTCGTATGGTCTGTCGAGGTCTTCAGTTCCTCTTCGCTATCATCGCCTGCGGTTTCTACGGTCATCGCGTCGACAAGGCTCAAGACACCGACTACGGCTTCTCGCCAGAATGGTACTTCGCTCTCGTCGTCGCTGGCCTCTCAGCCACCACCGCTATCCTCTTCGTCGTCCTTACTCCCCTCGGCGCTCTTCCCTTCATCGGAAGCAAGCTCAAGCTCGTCAAGACCTACCGCGCTTTCGCTTGGGATCTCATCCTCTTCATCACCTGGCTCGTCGTCTTCGGAATCTTCGCTGGCATCTTCCTCCACCGAGACAGCGACGACAAATACAAGGGCGCTAGTACCGGTGCTATGAAGACAGCCGTCTGGATCGACCTCGTCAACTCGATCCTGTGGCTCACCTCGGGTGTTTATGGTTGCATCAAGACTTTCTTGGGCGACAAGGCAGATGAGATGACGGACAAGGTTGGACAGAAGCTATTCACCAAGAAGCAGAAGCCAGCTAAGGAGGTTGGCTATGCCGAAAGTGTCTGAACACTGGCAAAACAGTTACATCGGGGTTTTCATGTTTTTATTGCGCATTTTCTTATGTCAGAGCCGGCGTTCTTCGCATCTTCCACATTTAGAATAGAACTATCTCTATCTCCCGATGAATACAAAATCTCAGCTACGAGATCTATGTACAGAACAAATACTATGCTTTTGAACCATGATTGCAAGCAGCTGAGACCTGGTCCGCCGTTCCCATTGCGATTCAATCTTAACCTTGGTCTAGTCTAGTTACCGAGTCACCTTTCAGCTTTGCCTTTGCGACAACGATGGAGTTGTGAGCGATGCAGAAGCAGGAGTGTACTTCAGCCCGTCTGTGAACCACGACAGAAGATATCAAGGCAAATTCACATCAATTCCAGACCTGAATAGTTCCTCAAGTTGGGGAAGCCAATAACCTTCTGGTCTTTTACTCTATCGAGGTAGCAAGATCAGACCGTCTATAATTGTTCACGATCCGGAAGGCAGAGAATGAAGTACAAAGTGTAACCCACTGTGCTAAGTCTCTCAAAGGTCGCCCTTAGACAGAGGCTTTCATGGTTCATTCATGTCTCTTGCATTCTATGGCTGCCTTTTCAAGAGCTGCCTTTCACATCAGAATCTTGCCGAACGCTTCACCAAGTCCGCACTCAACCAGCCATGCTTCCAAGGCCTTCATATCACCACGATTCCCTCTCGCTCCTCTCTTCTCAATCATATCCGTGATCTCTTGCATATCCGAAAATGCGCGCTTCAGATCCGTCGCCTCCTCTCGATATCTCTCGCTGACCTACTCTTGTTATCAGACTTCCCCGTGCCCATCCACGCAATTGACGTACCTTTTTGTGATGCGCAGGAATATCACCCCAACTTTCTGTCTTAATGAACTTCATGAAGTCATCAATGGCGACCGATCCTCCTTCTAAACACAATATGCCCGGCTTCCCAGCTAGGAGAAAGCCAGTGAGCCCGTAGGTCGGTGCATAGTTGATGAAGTCATCTCGCTTTGCCCTTGTGCTGATGGAGGGGAAGTAGAACCAAACTCGAACTAACGATGTGTCTGCTATCGGAGTATTTGCAATTTCTGCTTGCTTAAGACGTAAGAGGTGTTGAGATGCGGCATCTTTTATATGCTCAATAACTGAAAGAATGTCCTCTTCAGGAATCTCAGTGTTCAACTTTGCAACATCTCCTTTACTCATCCAATCCGGTTGTTGTATCCTGGTCTTGATTGGCGGTGGCTCTGTTAGCGATCCTTCTCCTTTTTGACACTTCAAAGGCACTGTCAATGTGAGCTGTAGAGTTCTTGATAAAGAATCTTCGTCTTCAACATCGACCCTGAGCTGGAGATTTATGGCTGTCTCTGAGAACTTTGGGGTGGCTTCCCCATCACTTTCACACCATTCCCTCAATCTCTCAATCAAACCAGACGCCGCAGAGTCTATGGCTATCGCATCATCCGACGCATACATCGCCATGAGGAGGTCAATTTGACCTAATTGGAGCTCCATGAGCTCTATAGGCAAGGCACTTTGGGACTCCTCGTCAGAAGGCATGACGGCCAGAATAGACTCTCCGCGGTTTGTAAGATTAACAAAAGGGCAATATCAACTTAGGGTCGCTGAAATCACAACCACTTTACGCGTGATTTGTAGACATTGATACGCGGCTGGAGAAAATTCCCCAATCACGTGAGGGCAATGCGTCCGACACCGCTGTCAATACCTTATCTTGGAGGTCTTATCTTATCTTATCTTGGTTTCTGGGGTTAGCTACCCTGGGCTGAGTGCAATAACTCAACAATGGAATTGGCCAAGAGCATTGTGGAGGGTTATAATATCTTGAACGAGTCTGCGAGACCAAGATTTTTTTTTTCTTTTGCTTTTCTTTTGTTTGGCTCGTTAGCATTCACCTCGCCCCCTCGTTAGCATAAATTCGTGGTCATTAGTCATTCGTTGTTCGAACAACATTGAAATTCTTCTTAGCACGGCGACCGTAACACCCTGTAGTATTTATCAGACGTAGACTCTCAAGCCACGTCTATCATTTCATAAATGACTACAAATACACATCATGCCGTCCTTTAGTGACGTCTTGCGTAAACATTAGAATGACCGTGTCTGATCCCTGAATGACGTTCAGATGATGGCCCATCTATCCAGCTAGTGAGCACTACAAATAGTGCAAGCTCTGAAAGCCAAACAATGCTTCGTATCAGTCAACAACTCGACGAATATCAACTCAAACAAAGCTTATTAATATCAATATGTCTCAATCAAATGTCGGATACCCTTCTTCTTATGAAGGCGGAGACCAGCGCCACTATAGTAGAGAGGAAGTTCGCGAGGAGGGTCGCACGCACCCCAACGTCAATACTGAGGGCTACCGTAAATTCTCCAAGCCCTTCAATCATTTCATTATCTAACTGGTTCTAGTACATAAAGAGGGAATAATGAATGAGCTCCAAGAGGCCGACGTAAGTTCCCAATTTCAAGCATAAGATCAGTGGCTAAGTTCATAGACCAAGAGGGTAGTTGCAGACCGTATGAAGCATGAACCAGGCTTCGCAGTAAGTATTGCCACAATCCCTGCTATTCAAGTGCCACACAAGCATCTAACTACTTGCCCAGGCCACCATGCACTGCAATAAGCCCTCTCGAGGTGCCGAAATCGATGCTGAGCTTGCACGAGAAGATGCAGAGCAGCTTGAAAAGAAGAAAGGCAAGACTGACAGCATGCCTGGAAAGAAGATGGAACACAACACGAGTAAGAGCGAGTGGAAGCAGCAGATGGATCAAGAGGAGGAGGAGGCTCGCGCTAAGCATAGCGACCGTTAAACAAATAATCATGAAGGTCAGGGTATAAAGTGTATTACTCGTAAGACAAATAGCTGTCAAAAGTAGAGCTTCGGTGGATCTCAATGAATTAAATCATATGACTCAATTCCAAAAAGTACACTTCATCCAGTGAAACGGTGAGAGGAACAGGCAACAGGCAACATTAACGTGGTTCAAGATATCAAATCTCAGCGTCTGAGATAGCCACTACAATGCCGTGCATCATTCAGCTCGCGACGCAAATAGTGACTACTAGAGGGTAGGTTTTGGTAAAGGCGACTTGTGATGGAAGTCAGATGTCATAAAGCTGGAGATATGAGCAGGAACATTACTCTCAACGATGACATCCGAGCCAGAAAGAGCATCTCCATTCCCATAGTTCAAGTGTCAGATATTTAGATTTTATTGGTTTTATTCGGCCGTGAAGGTATTAGGTTCATACAGTCGTAATCGAACAATTAAAAGTACACGAGTTCATGACTCGCCGTCCAAACTTCTCCTTTAAATCATCCCCAGATGTGAATTTACCACTTATTACTCTATCAAACCATCTCCTCACCACGAGCGCCAGTGCCAACAGGTCGTCGGGGAATAGAACCGTTGTTGTATCCATTGCCATGCATGTGCTCAGATCCATCGCTCTTCAGGCCGTGGCCGTGGCCGTGTCCATGTCCGAGAGAGCTGCCACCGTGAGATCCCCAGCCGACCTTGCGAGTAAAGACGGCGTCAGCAAGCTCAGCGCCACCCATGGAGTAGTTGAAAGGAACGCCACGGTTGAGGGGGATGTGGTTGAAGCGCCAGTCCCAGACAGCGGCGTAGGTCATTCGGTAAGCGGAGAAAGCAAAGACGGTTCCAATGATGGCACCGGCAAGGACATCGTGGAAGTGGTGATACTTGTCGATAGTGAGAGCGCCACCGATGAGAACAGCACCGAGAAGAGGGGCGTAGGTGACAATGAGCTTCCACATGGATGGATGGTAGTTGGAGAAGACCTTGAGCTTGGCGTTGAGGTAAAGGTACAGGTAGACAAAGCCAGCAAAGGCAGCAGTGGTGTGACCACTGGGCATAGACTCAAGAGCATCGTTGATCTCGCTCTTGTCGCCAGTGCAAATGTCGGGGGTGTAGTAAAGCTGAAGATATCCCTTGTTGTTGTATCCTCCCATGGTGCGAGCGCGAGCCATGTCGGGCTTGCAGACCTCAAGGAAATGAGGTCGGAATCCACCGATGAGCCACTTGACAAAGACCTGGAAGACAGCGGCGGTGATGAGGGAGTAGAGAAGACCGATGACAGCGTTGTTGACATCCCAGAATGAGCGGATGCGGATCTGCATCACCAGGAAGACGAAGATGGGAACAAGAGCAGCCAACAGGGCAGCGGCCCAGATAGGAACGATCTCGCCTCGGAGAGGATATCCGTACTCGGGCCAGACAATCTCGCCATCGGAAAAGGTGACGGGGAACGATCGGGCGGGGGCAGGCTTTGCGAAGTAGACCTAAAGATTTGTTAGAAAGGTAATTGAGTTTGAAGCGATCGAGACTTACACCAAGACCGATAGCGCCCATACAGGCCATGGTGACAATATCAAGCCATGTTCCCTTGAGCCACTGTCCGAAAGTAGGGCGTCTCGACATGGGGAGAGGGTCGTGAACCGCCTTTTGGTGGTGACGGGTCTTTGTACCAGGCGAAGCCCGGTGAGGGGACTTTTCTCGACGGAAGAAAGGCATGTTTGGCGATTTGGTGATGCTAGATAATGATGTTGAAGGAAAAGCCGACCACAGATTGAGTGGCTCTGTACCCAAAATTAATAGGTACTGAAAGAACTTTGCTGGCTCTTGTCCTGCCGTTCACAAACAATTGAGGCTGCTCGCTCTTCTATAGATCCGTGGAGAGAGAGCGACTGTGACACGCGACATCGCGATTCAAGCTGTTGACGTCACTAACGTCATTCAAACGTTTCACGCCAGCACCAATAACACAGCAACAGCGCTGCCCTGTAGGCCCTGTAGGCCCTGTCTGCACCTGTCACAGCATGCAGATTCATTTCGCTACGTAAAGCCACAGTCGACGTCATTGCTCAAAATCCTCTTTCTCCAGGAAAAAGTGAGCCTTGGACGGCAGACTCATGCCGAGCGGGCTTGCAGGCGGCAGTTTCGTGCCGGACAACCAATCATGGCCTTGGCAGTTGGACAAGGGATGTGTCTTGGCTTGGGACAAGTGTGGCTTGATTTTGACGATCTGTGTTGTTCTGGCTAATAACACGGGAATGAGCATCGATCGATGCTTGGCCAAGGCTCCTGAAACCTGCTAATTTGTGCTGATGATTCAGTGTTTAGCTCATAGTTTGTACCGGAGCGTAAGTCCGTGATGTTCTGTCTGGGCAAAGATTACAGAGTTTCATTGATGAGCAGGTCAACTGATGTCAGACTGAAGAGCGGACAACGTTTTTGTTGGCCTAGAGGTTATGCTGCACTAAAGTAATAACTCTATCAGTTAAACTTTAGAGCTGTAAATAACCTTGAAAGCTCAAACAGTCGAGATGCTAGAGGATGGTGGCTGATGCTGTGGCTGACCACATGTCAGATCTCATTAGTCCAACTACGAAGCTGTCCCAAAAACAAGATTTCAGCAATCGCCCAAGCAGTCCTCGCTGTATTTTACGCCAAGTCGGCATTGACTGAATGACAAGACCATTGTAAGCAAATCGGCGATTTACTACGGAGCAAGGAGCGATACGACCAAGTTCAAGCTATATTTCGGAAGCTTATGCGAAAATCATTCATTCTTGTTGTGAAGTGGACAAGGGCTGAAGTCTCGGCATACGACAAGAGCCCCATCCATCATGGCACCACAAAAATGCCCAACACTAGACGAATCACGAGTTGACCGATTGCGACCTTCTCGATTTTGACATAATGATGCAATTGTTGACGCGCGTCGGAATCCTCTCGCGAGTTTGATATCTACAAGAACAAGATCTATCAAGTGAACTCGACGAAACGTCACTTGATCTGTCCGTAGTCAGAACAAGAGGGCGCACTCTCATATCAGACAGTCAGATATGTCAACTCGGACAGGAAGTAATATTCATTGAAAGTAGAATAGAATATATGGTCAGTCGAATGACATGCCCTTTTTTTCAACCAATAACCCAAATCACTACCCATTACCCCCTTCTTCACGCTTTGCTCGCAAACATTCATCGCGAACCTTCAAAATACAGCCTTCATATCACCAACAACTAGGCAAATCAAAACTCTTAAGGCTTCTTGCACTGTCCGGCCTGGATATTGGCAGGATTCTCGCAAGTGTTGCACTTGATGATATTGCCAGCTCCCTCGCTCAAGTTCAGGATATCGTTGTCGTTATTCTTCAGGTTGTTTCGAATGATAATGTTATGGTTGGCCTTGGGGGCTTTACCGCCGAGAGTAATGCAAGAAAGAGAAACGGGTTGTTCGGGAGTAGCAACACAAGCATCGTCGTAGATAAGGATGCCGACTCCTGCACCGGCTCCTCCGTTGCCACTACCACGCTGTCCCTCAATAGTATTGTCGCGGACAAGAGTTCCGACAGCGCTACCAAGAATGATACCAGAGGAAGTCTTGCCGCACGCAGCAGGAGTTGGGCCAACGTAGTTGTGCACGATCTTGGCATCCTTCACACCAGGATCGACAAAGATGCCGATGCAGTTGTCGTGGAGGGTGTTGTACCCAATAAATGC